GAAGGGTGTTGGGAACCAGGTACTCATTTAATGAACCAGAGTGTAATTTGTAGATATGAAAATGCATATAACCTCCATGAAAAACATTTTGGCAATACCTTCCAAAATTTAAAGTGCACATAACTTTAACCTAGAACTTTCTCTTGAAGTATTTTATCCTCAAGTATCTGTGCCCATTTGCAAGGATATTCACTCTAGTATCATGTATTTTAATAATAAAGGATTGTCAGTAGGCATTTGTAAAGATGTACCATGTAATTCCATTCAGTCACTAAAAACCAATGAGTTAAGAACCAAACAGATGAGTAATGGGACTGCCGCATGCGACCAATTGCATTTTTTAAAACTTCCACAAATACATTCATAGGTGCACAAAGTTACATATATATAAAGCTTTCTTTGGTAGGATACCTAGATTTAACCTTCATAGAGGAGAATAAGTAGCTGAGCCACAGGGATAGGAGGAAGGCCAATATTAAGTGTAAAAGATGTAATTTTTAAATAGATAGATAGATAGATAGATAGATAGATAGATAGATAGATAGATGATAGATAGATAATTTTAATTGATTTCCGAGAGGAAGGGAGAGGGAGAGAGAGATAGAAACATCAATGACCTGAGAATCATTGATACGCTGCCTCCTGCATACCCCCTACTGGGGATTGAGCCCACAACTCAGGCATGTGCCCTGACCTGTAATCAACTGTGACCTGATTCATAGGTTAATGCTCAATCACTGAACCATTGCCAGCTAGGCTAAAAGATGTAATTTTTTACTTAGTTTTTGTACTTTTGAATTCTATATCATGTACTTGTCTTGTTTATTCAAAAGAAATAAACATCTATATATACAAAAGGCTAACATGCTACGTATCCTTCCCACCATCCAACCAGTTGCTATGATGCACACTGACCACCAGGGGGCAAACACTCAATGCAGGAGTTGCCGTGAAGCAAACTAGCCATTTACAGAGAAACAACAGTGCGGACCTGGCCGACAAAGCAACACTCGGCTTCCCCCAAGTGGAACACAGGCCCCACCACCACCCTGGAACTACAGCCCACCAAATCGCAGCCGATGCTGCTGAGACCCCATGGCCAGTCCGGAAATGGTCACTGTGGGCGCTGGGTAATGATGTCACGTAGCAACCCCTGGCTTCCTCTCCCTAGCGACTAGCCTCCTTGCAGTTTCTTCAGCCCAGGCACACAACTTGCTTTATACCCAGGTGGAAACATTTACACTTTAACCAAATGTCTGTGAAGCATTTTCCTGTTCCTCATCTCATTTGATCCTCACAGAAGTCCTGGAGTAGGTAGATAGGAGACTTGGTGGAATCCTACTTTCTTTTCATTAGCCGGAAAACAGAGATTTAGAAAGCTTAGAAACTTGACCCGACTGAAAAGAAGTAAGAAATGGTGGACCTTGAAAAAACTTCAGGTTTTCTCGCTGTGCAAAATATAGTCAAACTCTGCTGCAGTTAAATATTTTACCCTTTGTTCTACCTGCATGATCTACAATAACAATCTGCTTCGTGTTGATATTTACTGCTGTGTTGTTGACAATTACCTGAAAGAGAAATTGGGGTGCTTCACTGGGCTGGAAAAAGTTTAGCTAAATCAGAAAGCAGGTCTAATTAAGCAAGTTTGCTCTATATCTTTAAAGCATGACTCGCGCATGCACAATACATAAAAGCTCTCACTGGCGCCAATCGCATGTGTGTGTTTCCATCTGTCATTGTTGATTGTGAATTTGGTTGACACTTCTATTATAGAGAAAGGGCGAATAGTGATATTAAAATATTTCTTCTAATTAATTTCCTTTCAATGTGCACGAATTCCTGCACCAAGCCACTAGTTTTAAATAAATTAATATTGCTAGGAAATACTATATCCTTGCCCCCTAATGCTATCGTTGAGCAAACTGACACACAGAGAGGACCAGACCAGGGCCCTGAATGTGTATAGAGATGATTAGCAGTATTGAGACCTGGATTCTAATCCTGATTCTGATATATGACTCTTAGTAAGTTATTTTCCTTCTGTATCACCTTTCTCATTTGTAGAATAAGGAGTAGGACTCACCTTCCTTTGTCTTCCATCATTAGTTTTCTTTTTTTTTCTGTTCATCAAATTATTTATTCACTTGATTTTTAGATTCACTTGTTGATAGATGCGTATTTGTTGTTCATAATTTGTATCTTTACCTTTTTCTTCTTCTTCCTCTTCTTAAAGGATACCTTTCAGCATTTCATATAATACTGGTTTGGTGGTGATGAACTCCTTTAGCTTTTCCTTATCTGTGAAGCTCTTTATCTGACCTTCAATTCTGAATGATAGCTTTGCTGGATAAAGTAATCTTGGTTGTAGGTTCTTGCTATTCATCACTTTGAATATTTCTTGCCACTCCCTTCTGGCCTGCAAAGTTTCTGTTGAGAAATCAACTGACAGTTGTATGGGTATTCCCTTGTAGGTAACTGGGTTTCTTTCTCTTGCTGCTTTTAAGATTCTCTCTTTGTCTTTTGCTCTTGGCATTTTAATTATGATGTGTCTTGGTGTGGTCCTCTTTGGATTCCTTTTGTTTGGGGTTCTCTGCGCTTCCTGGACTTGTAAGTCTATTTCTTTCACCAGGTGGGGGAAGTTTTCTGTCATTATTTCTTCAAATAGGTTTTCAATATCTTGCTCTCTCTCTTCTTCTGGCACCCCTATAATTCTGATGTTGGTACACTTGAAGCTATCCCAGAGGCTCCTTACACTATCTTCGTATTTTCGGATTCTTTTTTCATTTTGCTTTTCCGGTTGGGTGTTTTTTTGCTTCTTCGCATTTCAAATCTTTAACTTGATTCTTGTGCTCCTCTGGTCTGCTGTTGGGAGTCTGTATAATATTCTTTATTTCAGTCAGTGTATGCTTAATTTCTAGTGGGTCCTTTATCACAACATCGAGGGTCTCATTAGATTTCTTGAGGATCTCACTATATTTATCGGCAGTCTCACCAGTCTTTTCGAGGGCCTTACTAAATTTATCGGTGGTCTCACCAGTCTTTTCGAGGGCCTTACTAAATTTATCGGCGGCTTCTAGACAGTTCTTGAGAGACCTTACAAGTGTGGTTTTGAGCTCTACATCCAGCATTTTGCCTTCCTCCATTTCTGTCCTGTTTCTTTGTCTCCGCATTTCTTATGCTTTCTTGGTACACCCCCTAGTGGTCTTTGTGCACCGTCTTGTTGTAGTTAAGCCTTGATTGTTGTAGGTAACACTGGGAGGGATTTGACCTCCAGGCCAACTGGCTGTGAGCCATCATTAGTTTTCAAACTAATTCATAGAGCCCAAGGATTTTTTTCAATTTCTTTAGGGGTCTCAAGCAGGTGGTTGGGGTTGTAGTGGTTGCCAGTGCACCTGTCTTTAACCAGAGCATCCCTGGACCTCTGAGTAAGATTGAGTTTAACTAAATATTTTGAAACTTTTTTAATAGTCTGAAAGTCACAGTCCACAGTAAAGTCACCATATATATTAACTTAAAGGTTCTCAGTGTCAGTGTCAAAACACATTATTGTATTATGATCAACTGTGAAGTAGTCTCAAGAAATTTTAAATGATTTTTACATCCTATATAATAAAAGCCTAATATGCAAATTGACCAAACAGCAGAACAACTGGTGGAACGACTGGTCACTATGACACGCACTGACCACCAGGGGGCAGACACTCAACTCAGGAGCTGCCCCCAGCCCACAGGCCCCAGGCCAGCCAAGCAGAGGAGGCAGCTGGTGGCAGTGTGAGGGGCGGGACTGGCGAGCAGGCAGTGCCAGGTCGGCCAAGGCAGGGGCCCCCACAGATCATCCCTGATCTCCGGCCAGGCCTAGGGACCCTACCCATGCACGAATTTTGTGCTCCGGGCCTCTAGTCCTATATAGTAAAGAGCTAATATGCTAATTAGACCTAACAGTAGAACGACCATCTGGACAACCTTCCAGAGGAAGCCGGGGCTGCAAGGACTGAGGTAGCTGGGGCTGTGAGGGCCAAGCCCCTTGCACGAATTTCATGCATTGGGCCTCTAGTTTTAAAATAAATACCAACCTCACATTTCTGTATGCTCTCTTAAGCTGGAAGGAGGTAGGAGGTAGGATATTCACATGAAGGATGTAAAGTCTGTTATATGCTATAGTTGTGTGAAGGCATGTGTTGTTGTAGAGTCCTTAATGGTTTTTCTTTGGGCTGGTGGAGTAGAATATAATATTTGGCTCTACGGCTAATACATGGATTTTAGTCAGTTAATGCCTTCCTGCCTCGCTTCTTTAATACTTTCCGGAGCTGGGAAAATAAAAGGTACAAAGGGATAAATTAAGCAAATGGCAAGTCAGAAACAAGTTCATTACTCTTTCTGAAGCTTAGTTTAATGTGAGAACCTAAATTTCAGTCTTAAATGCACAGAGACACTCTTTGAGGACGTTGTAAAGGCAGATATGGGTGTGACTGTTTTCCTTCTAGCAGTCAAAAGATGGTGGTAATGAAGGATTCAGGAATGAAGTTACCTAACCAAGTCTTTTTTTTTTAAGGGGAGTGAACAGAAAGATCAAATGTTTACCCAACAACAGTAAATTCATGATATAACTACTTAAGAACCGATGATTCCTGGTAAAAAACCTAATAGAAATGCAGGTCTAAAAATTAGCAAGAGGAAGAAGCAGGAAAGTATAGTTTATACTTGATAGCACTTAAAGCCAATATTATGTGTTTTTAAAAGTAGATGAAAAACAATTTGTGTTATATGCGTATGTAAATGTGTTTGTATAAAATCTTGAAAACAAACCAAAGTGTTCATTACTATTAGGATGATGGGAGTTTGAGAGATTTTTATTCTCTTTTATCTGTATTTTTTAACTTTTCTACAAAGAATACATATTACTTAGGTACTCAAAATGCTGTTATTTATTATATATACACACAAATGCATAAAACATTTGTTATGTGTCCTGACTGTAGGTGTGTCTTTGTATTTTCTAGGTGCACCAGAGGCTTTCTTGGCAGAATTTGAGTGTTGCTTATTGCAGTACTGTTGTGCCCTCTGATGGTGAGTTTTGGCAAATCCATTTTTTATGTCTAATGTATTTGTCCCCCTTAAGTCAACTATACTCTTTTACTTAAAATTTGCTTAGAGTCAGAGAAATAAGGAGGGTCCTAAAGAAGAGAAATTAAATTTGAAAGAGGATCTAATGAATTTAGAGGAGAAATCAGTAAGAAAACTAATAGGCCCATTAAGTTTTCAGAGATAGGGAATATTACTTTTTTTCTTTTAAACTGGGGACATAGTTAATGTGAAGATCACAGAAGCACTATCTTTGGTATTTCTTAAACATTGGGTCTTCAGATACGGATAATACTAAAAAACTCCAGCCCCTTTGCGGTATCAGAGCCTACAGGGAAGCAACTGAAAGTCTGAGACCTGCCCCCTCCCTTGTCTTTTTCTTCCATTAGACTCAAAGCTGCAATACCCTTCTTTGATGTGGAAAAGAATGAACAGATGCTTGAGGACTGTATATGGTCCTTTGTAAATATCTATGATGCTACAAACTGGCAATAGGATCTAAGTTTTGGTTGTTTAGAGGAGATATGTTTACTACTCTCTTGGTCATTTCTCTTACCCAATATTGTACATTGACAGTTTAGATTATTTGCTTAGGGTTGACTGTTAAATATATTTCCTCTGTATAAAGTTTAGTTTGATAGAACTCTAATTTCAACCTTATAAGCATTAATTCTGAGGTAGAGCAACCATTGAAAGAGTATCCTGCAAATTTGTAAGGATGCCTGAAACTGAAGAAACCCAGATCGACTGTGAAACTCCCAGGATCCCCTGTATTTAAGCAGTACTGATGTTTGCAGTGTTTTCAGAACCCTCCCAAAGTTGTTTAGTTATCTGAATATATGTGTTCATTTTTTGCTAAATTATCTGAACTTGGAGGAAATATCCATTTGTGATTACTCATTTGTAATATGAAAAGGTTGAAAGGAAAAATAGGCCAGAGTCAAAATCAGGAAAATAGTATCTGGTTTTCTTTATCCTATCTCTTAGAAACATCGAGAACTGACAAAGTAATATCCGTACATAAATTAAAAAGCAGCACTCAACTCTTTGTTACAGCTGAGGACAGGTAGGTATGTTGACCCCAGGCAAAACTCAGTATGTAGAGGCCAGTTTTTCCCACGTGGCCAAAAGGCAGGGGACCATAATGCCACCTCTCCATGCCACCTACTTCGTTTCTTCCTTGAGCCCCTCCAAAACAGTGAATAGCTATCACTCTTAATCCTCACACTGTCTTGGCCCATTAAACATCCAAATGGATGCTGTCCACATCTATGCCAGCACCACTCCCAGGTCCTATTACCTTCATTACCACTACAGGGTAATAGCATTAGATAGTTTCAATAAAGAGAGGATTTCTCTCAATGTGTAAAATATTGTTCATAATGTTGAATCTTCTCAGCTTTTGCTGAACTAAAAGCATTTCATTCAGAATTGTCTAGTTTTATGATATTGTCTGACATTGTTATATATGTCAGTATATATTAATATGTATTCCATAAGTTATGTATAATCAATATGAACTAAGTTACACTACAATGTGACAGTCATCTGCCAATGGTTAAGATATTCAGAGGCAATTAACTTAAACTAATGAATTTATATTGAAATATATATTATTAATTTTACCACTTAGTGGAGTTACTATTATTATCCTATATACCAATCTGTATGGGAGTATTTCAGTAATACAACAATGGTACAGTTGAACTGCATGTTATCCCAGTACATAAATACTAGTAGATTGTCTGTATGTTGCATGAGGGGTTGAAGGTAATATTTTTCAAAAGCTAAAAGGATACATATTTTTAATAAGAATGACTTCTAAATTTCCTACCAATAAGAAAATAACTCATGTTAGCTGTCAAGAAGTAGAAGCACAAAAGTATTTGATTTAATGCAACTCAGTGTTCTTACTACCACCAAATTATACACCATTCTTATTTTGTACTTCTTAATTTTACCTTAGGTCAATATAGCATATGAAAAAACTCTGCTATTAATACACAGTGACTTTAATAGCGTTTAGCCACCAGTAATTAACAGCTCTACTATCATTCATTGCTCTTTGTTGTAACTGCTGGGTCTTCTTTTTTTTTTTTTTGTCCTTAATCCTCACCCAAGGATATTTTTCCATTGATTTTTTTTTTTTTTTTTTTTTTTTTTTTTTTTTTTTTTTTTAGAGAGAGTGGAAGAGAGGGGGAGAGACAGAGAGAAACATTGATATGAGAGAGAGATATTGATTTGTTGCCTCCCACACATGCTCTGACCAGGGGATTAAGCCTGCATCTTAGTTATGTGCCTTTGACTGGAATCGAACCCGAGACCCTTCAGTCCTCAGGCCAATGCTCTATCCACTGAGCCAAACTGTCTAGGGCTGCTGGGTCAAATTCTATTATCAAATGAGGGCTTGACCCTAATGTTTTAAAAGTACAAAATCTAAAATACCACATTATATAATTATGATATTTATATACCTAGTATATATACCTAATATTTACTGCCCCTTAGTAATTGCTTATTAATATGTTGTTTGGCAAATCTTCTATTATGGCAATGATAGCTGATATAAAATATAAAAATTATCTTAAATGTCTAACCTTCCTCCCAAAGCAATCTAAAAGGTTCTTATTTTTTGTATGTGCCATAAATATTTTTGAGGATCTGACGTAGGCTCTAGATTCTTTCTCTAGAAAATTTATACATACACATAGGAAATTTTACATATAATTTCTTAGTGACCAGACCACCTTAAACCAATTCATAGAATCCCTAGTCTCATGGACCTGAACTCAAGAACTTCTTTGGACACATTGCATACAGGTACACATGCACATACCTGTACCCACAATCATGTTCCCTTTCAGGGGAGGATTGTGCTCAGAAGTAGGAGAAGAGCTTTGGAGTCAAACAGAGCTGGGTTTACATCTCACTTCCACCATTTAACCACCTGGTAACCTTAGGAAAGGTAATTAACTTCTTTAAAGTCTTTTCCTATCTGTGAAATGGAAATAGTATTATTTACCACCTCCAAGAGGAAAGTGCACTTAGCCTGCAGTAAGAGTACTTACCCACCAGAAACTCTTTTTCCTTAAAGGGTGATTGTGGTAGTGTTACAGACCGCTAATCTAAAATATGTGGTTTGGAATTCTCATTTTAATTTCTCTATGCCCCAGATCCTCAACTGTAAAATGGCTCACTGTGAAATGTTTATGTGATTAGCCTTTAGGGCAGCTGTTCTCAACCTGTGGGTCGCGACCCCTTTTGGGGGTCTAACGACCCTTTCACAGGGGTCGCCTAAATACATCCTGCATATCAGATATTTACATTACGATTCGTAACAGTAGCAAAATTACAGTTATGAAGTAGCAATGAAAATAATTTTATGGCCCTAACCGGTTTGGCTCAGTGGATAGAGCATCGGCCGGTGGACTGAAAGGTCCCAGGTTCGATTCAGGCCAAGGACATGTACCTTGGTTGCAGGCACATCCCCAGTAGGTGTGCAGGAGGCAGCTGATCAATGTTTCTCTCTCATCGATGTTTCTAACTCTCTATCTCTCTCCCTTCCTCTCTGTAAAAAATCAATAAAATATATTTTTAAAAAATAATAATAATTTTATGGTTGGGGGTCACCACAACATGAGGAACTGTATTAAAGGGTCGCAGCATTAGGAAGGACTAATCACTGCTTTAGGGGTTCCCTTTCTTATTAATGGAAGTAAAGAATGAGAGTAATTCCTCTATATACAGGGTTAGTGTATAATTTATCATTCAACCGAGGGCACTTTTGAGAGTGAAAAGGGACAACCAGAGTTGTCCTGACAATTTTTAATAGCGTAAGGCAGGACGTATCTTCACCTTAGCTACATAGAAAGTGCCAAAGGTGAGCTATAGTAAGGCAAGGAAGAATAGCTTCTTGTAGCTGCCATCATTTCTCTATACAGAAATGTAATGCTACTCAGTTAGTTCTGTATTGAATTGTGGTAGAGAGTTGTGTTTATTTTGTATTTAACAAAAAATATAAGAATTCTTTAAAAAAATTCTTTGAAGGCAAATAATTTTAGCAATGAAGGGTTATTGGAAATTCCTGTTTAATAATAAACAATCAACTATTTAATCAATCCAAGTATGGATGATCTTATAAATTCTTAACCTAAGGTCTATGGATAGTTTGGGGAATAGATACCTATCCCAGTTTTTTCCTTTGGTTTTTGTCCCGTTACTGTTTTTAAAAAGCTTTATTGAGATATATGTTACATACCATAAAAGTCACCTATCACTGTGTAAGCATCATAAGAATCCAGTTATAGACGATGTGCCTCACCCCTAAAAGTTCCTTTGTTTCTGTTTTGCAGTCAATCCCTGCTCCCACCTTAAGTCCCAGGCAACCACTAATATACTTTCTGTCTCTATAGTTAAACCTTTTCTAAAAATGTCATATAAATGGATTCATACAAAATGTAGTCTTTTGCATCTAGCTTCTTTTACATGTTAATGCCTTTGAGCTTTCTCCATATTGTAGCACGTATTGTAGTTCTTTATTTATATTGCTGAGTACATGGAAATACCACATTTTGTTTATTCACTTACCAAAAGAAAAAAACATTTAAATTATTTGCTATAATGTTGCTATCAACATTTGCTTATAATCTTTGTGTGGACATATGTTTTCATTTCTCTTGGGTAGATACTTAGGAATGGAATGGCTGGGTCATATGGTAAGTATATACTTAACTCTTTGGTGTATTATAAAACTGTTTTCCAAAGTGGCTGTACCACATTGCATTCCCAACAACAATGTATGAGTGTCCCAGTTTCCCCATATCCTCCCCAACACTTGGTATGGTTGATCTTCTTGATCATAGGCATTCTAGTGGATTGTTTTCCTTGTGGTTCTAATTTACATTTCACGAATGACTAATAAGCATCTTTTAAGGTTTTTATTAACCTTTCAAATATTTTTGTTGATAAAGTATCCAAATTTTTTG